TAGATGAATGGATCAAGAAAGTGTGGTATATATACACAATGGAATTCTATGCTGCCATCAGAAAGAATGACATTGCCCCATTTGTTAGGAAATGGAAAGACTTGGAAAAAATTAAGCCCAAAGAAACATAGGTCCCATGATTTCCTTATTTGCAATATGTAGTATATGTATGAGTCAAGCAGAAAAGGCCAGATAAGGTGATGTTAGGAAAATGAACCCTAAGATGTGCCAAACCATGGCAAGCCCGGCCCAGTAGGGGCTGCCGGAGTCCCTAGAGACACAGGGCTCGTTTGCAGGACCTTCAGGCAGAAGATACCAGTGTTGGACCTGCTGATTGCGACTAACAGAGAAACCTCTGCGCCCAGAACCAGCACAAAGATCCCACCCTACTCCTCACTCGCCCAGCAGAGGGCTCCATCCCACCAAAGCCATTCGGCCCCAAGATGGGAACCCCAGAACTACAGGGGTTGCCCACAGAACGCCAGAGCACAAGACTAGAGGGAATCAGGGGAAAACATACAACAGTGGGACCCATCAGCTGCACTGGACATTGATCAAAATGAACTAAGCAACTCAATGGCAGCGATGGGAGGGAGGGAACAAGTGGGAAAGAGGGAACAGCTGATGCTGTGCAAAACAAAAGAAATGTACATACCACCCAATGTGGAAGAAATAACTGTATTGCAAAGCTCATAGAACTCATAAATGTTATAGACCATGATAAACAAGTTAGAATGTGTTTGTGATTTTAACTGAGCATCACTGTCCCACAATACTGTGAAATTTGAGAAATTATGTAACCACTTAATCACAATAAAATATTTGAAAAAATAATGAAGACATAAATTGAAAACTGTGAAAAATATATATGCATCTACCTATCTTTCTTTCTATCTATCCTCTATCCAACCATCGATCCATCCATCCATTCATCTATCTAGACCCTATCTATATCTACACAGAATATTTAGATATTCTAATAAAATATATGCATTTATATCGGCCCAGTCAGGATGGGAAGCGTGAGCCCCAGCCAGGAGACCCCATGCAGAAAGGACCCCGAGGTCGCTGCACACTGCACGTAGCTGCTCGGCTTGCTGCAGATCCACTTCTGCTCCGTGTAGAACCGCCCGCTGCTGATGCCCACTCCATTCAGATAGGCGCAATCCCCAGATCCCCTCACCTCAGCCCTAGAAACAAGCAGAGAAATAGCACCTATTCATATTGGAGAATATAATTTCTTTTTCCTTTTTATCCGTCCTGAGCTAACACTCAGGGCTTGGGAGCTGTTCCTGTGCTTCTTTTGCTCAAGGCTGGTGCTTTACCACTTGAACCACAGCACCATTTCTATTTTTCTGGTGCTTCATTGGAGATAAAGAGTCTCACAGACTTTCCTGTCCAGGCTGGCCTCGAAACTCAAACCTCAGATCTCAGCCTCCTGAGTGGTTACCATTCCAGGATTGAGACATCAGCACCCAGTTTATACTAGTTTTTTGCCATTATTATGTTTTTGTTGGTCATGGGGCTTGAATTCTGGGCCTGGGCATTGCCCTGAACTCTTCAGTTCTCAAGGCTAGTACTCTACCGCTTGAGTACAGCAGCAGTTCCACTGGTTCTGGTTCATTAGAGATAAGAGTCTCACGGATTTTCCTGCACCGGCTAGTTTTGAAACACGATCATCAGATCTCAGCCTCCTGAGTAGCTGGGATGACAGGCATGAGACACCGGGGCCTGGATTTGCCACTATTTTTGCACCTCCATCCTGGTTTTTGGTTTTTAGTTTTTGTGTGTGTGGGCACTGGTCCAGAGGTTTGAATTCAGGGACCTGCACCATGTTCCTGAGCTTTTGTTCTCTAGCACTTGAGACACAGCTCCACTACCAGTGTGTTAGTGGTTAATGGGAGATGAGGGTCTCACAGACTTGGGCTGAGAGTGTGACTCAGTGGTAGAGTGCTTGTCTACCATGCATGAAGCCCTGCGTTCGATTCCCCAGAACCCCATACACAGAAAATTCCAGAAGTGCTACTGTGGCTCAAGTGGTAGAGCGTTAACCTTGTACCAAAGAAGCACAGTGACAGCGCCCAGGCCTAGAGTTCAAGCCCCAGGACTGGCACAAAATAAAGAAACAAAAAGATGGCTGATACGTACAAGTTGCTGAACTCGGTGTTGTCTGTCCACTTCCAACTACGCTGTGGAGATTCTCTTCTAAGGCCAATCCAATGGTCACACGAATCTGTGTGTCTTTCCAAGAAATTCTGTAATAACACACAGTAAGTTGAAAATAGGAGTCCTTATCTTTCAGATGTTTTTTTTTCCTTTTTTTTCCCTCAAGTCCAGGGGCTGGCTTTGAACTGTGATCTCACTTCTCACCTCCTGAGTAGCTATGTATTAGGTGGAATTATTTCTTTGCCTTTTTCTTTTCATGTGTATGTATATGCCGGCACTGGGGCTTGAACTCAGGGCCTGGGCACTGTCCCTGAGCTGCTTTTGCTCGACTAGTGCTCTACCACTAAACCACATTCCCAGCCCTGTCCTTCAGCTCCCTTGTTCAAGGCTTTAACACTTGAGCCACAGCTCTCCTTCCAGCTCTTTTTGGCTGGTTAACTAGAGACAAGAGTCTCAGTGAGGTTCTTGCACAGGTTGGCTTGGAAATCACGATCCTCAGATCTCAGCCTCCTGAGGAGCTGGGATTATAGGTGTGAGCCACTGGCACCCACCCTTCATTCTGTTTTAGCTTTCACCTTACACAACATGTCCAATTTTGGGGTGTCTTTTAGCATGTCGCAGAAAAGAGGAGCTCCAAAAGCAATTCTTACCAACTCCTCCTTGCTGTCAAACTTGACCAGATTGGCACCAAAGGATGCACAGAAGGCCTGACTGGAGGTCCAGTTCCTTCCATCATCAGAAAAATAATAACACTTATTCCCAAATGCAATCCAGTCTCTTGGGCAAGAGGAAAACAGCCTCGTCTCGGGAATGCGGCTTTGTCTTGTGTTCACTAACACAGAGAAAATGGATTAGCTGCTCATCAACCATTCCTTTCCTGCCCAGACCCCAGGCCTACCTGCACATTCTGCATTGGAAGCAACTCACCTGCCATAAGCACAGCAACAAGTCCAAGTACAGTTGCAAGCAGAACAGCATTAATGAGCACAGAGCAGTGAAATTTGCTGCGTGTGATGGGTGACAGAATTCCTAGGCATTTTCCTGGGAGAGCTTTACCTGGAAACATACAAATAGGAGATTTGAATCTAATAAAATATGTATAATGAAGACAGTCCCCACATGCATGAAGCCCTGGGTTTGATTCCTCAGTACCATGTACACAGCAAAGGCCAGAAGTGGCACTGTGGCCAGCCTTGAGAGACAAAGCTGAGGGACAGCGCCCAGCCCCTGAGTTCATATAATACATGAGATCATATAATACATGAGATCTGCTGTAAATATGTCATAATATATGACATACTATCTAGTATATGCTCTCATTAATATATACTGTGTATAACAAGATATTACAGTGTATGCTGCATTACACTATATAATATTACACTATATATACTCTTATTCTACCTACTATCATACATTATGTAATATAATTTTACATATTGGTTGTATCTTATAAATTTTACAATATAAGATATATTATGTAAAGTATAATATAATCAGATAATCTACATACTATTTTATATAAGATAGAAAAGAATACTATCTACTATTTATCATATAATGCACTATGATATGAAGTATATTTAATGTGAAATATCGATATATGTAAGAAGATACAAATAAATTATAAAATTAAAAGCAATATAAAATATAACAGTAAGATATAAATTTGACAGTACAAAATATACATTCTATGTATGGTATATAGCATATCTATCATATATGAATACTATATGATGCTACATTATATATGATATAATATATTATGTTACATTATATCATTATATTATATTATTATGTTATATTATATAAATATATATTACATATTGTATTATATATAAATATATGAGCATATATATTAATTATAATATATATAAATATTTATTACATCATATATGAGAGAGTATATATACTATATATTATACGATATATGCTATATGCTATAATATATAATATATAGTATGTAAAGTGATATATTATGTTGTTAGATATCCTATATAAATGCCATATTATTTGGTATGATATATTGCATAAAACATGTCTATGATATGTTATGATACATGTTATACTGTATATATATGTATATATAAACACAATGAGCAATCTTTATGTAAGTATTTTATTGTCATACTGAACTAAACACACAGGGACTCCAGCTGGAATGGAACTTGCATGCATTCTTTCTGGAAACACCAATGGCCCAACCATTTAAGGACATTACTCAGCAGATATGCCTGTTTACCCTCTTCACCAGTTACCTTCCACATTTACCCAAAAGTCATGGGCACCTCCTCCTGCACACAGAAGCTTCCTGCAATTTCTTTTGTACTTACTCTAGCCCCTCCCTATGTTTGCTGGATTTCTGCCTCTCAGTTTAAAGCAAGCACTAGAGCATGAGGAAGAAAAAAAGCCCAACACCTTGTTTTTTTTTTTTTTTGAGAATCTGACCAAAATAACTAAATTTACTACTGAGACTTCCTTCAAGAGATCAACAGGTGATTATTTAACTGCTTCACTCACAATTTTCTGCTAGCTTTACTCTCTTTCTCTTCCTCTCTCTCTCTTCCTCTCCCTCTCTCTCTCTCTCTCCCTCTCCCCCTCCCTCTCTCTCTCTTCCTCTCTCTCTCTCTCTCTCTCTCTCTGTATACTAGTGCCTTGAGCCACAATCTTTTTTTGCTCAGGTTTGCTGCTTGACCTCTACAGCCAGGCTTTGAGCCCAGATAGTTGGTGATTTACTGGAGGTGAGTCTCATGACTTCCCCACCTGAGCTGGCTTTAAACGATGATCCTCAGATCTCAGCCTCCTGAGTAGCTAGAATGACAGGAATGAGCCACTAACTTAAGTGTCATTCTTTGCCTTTATAACAGAGTAACCGGATATGTATATCTGGCATTATGGGTTGTTGTTTTTTCATTTTCACTTGATACACACTAAGTGTATGTTTATTTTTCTTCTGCTGTTGTTAGTTTGGGTAGATTTATCTTCCTTTCCAAATTCCTGTGCCTCTCATTCTATCCTCAGAACACAGTCACCCTCAAATTTTGTTAGAAAAGAGGAAAATTGTCTCCTAAAAGAACAAAGAAGTCAGGTACCCATGGCTCACATCTGTCATCCCAGCTATTCAGGAGGCTGAGCTCTAAGGATCACAGCTTACAGCCAGCCCAGGCAGGAAAGTCAATGGGACTCTTATCTGCAATGATCCAGCAAAAAGATTCAAATAGAGGTGTGGTTCAAGAGATAGAGTGCCAGTTTTCAGCACCAAAGTTCAGAGACCAAATGCAGGCATTGATTTCAAGCCCTAGGACTGGCACACAGACAAAACAAGGAACAGAGAAATGATAGGCTGAATGTAATAATGTAATGTATAAGCATTACTCTTTTCACTAGGTTTTGCCACGTTTGCGAAAGTGGGAACTTGCTGATGATCTGCTAGGAGAAAAAAAAATGGATTTTTTTTCCAAATACAGAAATTTCCCACAGACCCAAACCAAAAGGAAAAAAAGTCAGAGCTCTATTTCTGATTTTTCACATAATTCTCTTTGCTGAAGAAAAAAAAAATCATTCTCCCCAAGGGTATATGAGTATCATCTGAAGCTGGGATTTGCGTCTGGCAGGAATTCAGGAGAATGTATTCTCCAGATTCCTATATGTAGTAGTTACAAAAGAATTACAAACCAAAAGCTCTTCCCAGATTTGCAGATTTGTGTGTGCATGTGTGTGTGCGCCCGCGTGCATGTGTGCACGTGCACGCAAGTCCTGGGCCTTGAACTCAGGGCCTATGCACTGTCCATAGATTTTTTTTTTCAAACTTCAGGCTGGCACTCAACCACTTATGCCACACCTCTACTTCTGGCTTTTGCTGGTTAATCAGAGATAAGAGCCTCACTGACTTTTCCTGCCTGGACTAGCCCTAAGCATTGATCCTCAGATCTCAGCTAGAATGACAGGCATGAGCCAACAATGCCCTGCTTCAGGACAAATTCTGTGATGGTTGCAGTACACATTGCAAGATTATGATGACTAGTTTGCAATCCTGCCCCAGTGCAAATGAAGTTAGGCACCAACTAATCTGGGAAAGAGAAAAAGAGTAAGAAGAGGGAAGAAGAGGGTAAGTTAGAAGAAAGAAGAAGAAAGAGGAGGAAGCAAGTAATAGAAACACACCTCTGCTCCCCCTCCAACACACTTCCCATTCATTTCTAGCCACAAAAATGTTACCCCAACTCAAGTCACACATCCCAGATCCAACCTCCATCCCAGACTGAGCTGCCTTTGTGGCAGAGTGCAATCCTAAGGAGCCTGACCTGCAAATGTCTACCTTGGGACTCATGAATGGGGTTACCTGCTTACCTGTTTTCCTGCTTTCTGGGTCCTCTGCGGAAGAGAAATCTCTCTGTAACATTCCCACTGAAGTTTCCAGAGATATCATTTTTTTTCCTCCTGGCTCTTTTTTGGCAGAACGACTAGAGCTGGGATTCGTGGATGTAACCTTGGAGCTGGATAAACACATTTCCTAACAGCCAGAGCCCTTTCCTGATTCCTAGACCTGAGAGAGAAAAGAAAACAAAACCAACCCAGGAGAGGAATTAGGATATGAAGAATGAATTAGAAATGACATGATCCATAAGTTCAGAATAAATTTTACAATGCCCCATTGCCTCTAAATTTCCACCCATTGAAACCACACATTCCAGGATAGAACAATGGGGGGGGGGTGGAAGGAGGGAGGGTTGGTTGGCAGGGAGAATTCCCAGCTGAGATCAGTTAAAATAATATTTTTTTAAAAGCTGGGCACCTAAGCTGAGATCCATTTTTTAAAAAAATAATAATGAAGCCAGACATGCAGCTGATAGGCTGAGAGGCTGAGAGGCTGAGATATTATCTTGAACATCTGGGATCAAAAAAGAATCTAGCACAGGAAAGTTTGTGAAATTGCTCAACTCCTTAACTACGAAAAACTCCTTCACCGCCATAAAGTTATGTAGAGGAGAGGTAGCTTACATGGTAAGCTCAAGGATAGCACATAAAAAATTAATGATGCCGGGCGCCGGTGGCTCACGCCTGTAATCCTAGCTACTCAGGAGGCTGAGATCTGAGGATCGCGGTTCAAAGCCAGCCCGGGCAGGAGAGACTGTGAGACTCCTATCTCCAATAAACCACTAGAAAACCGGAAGTGGCGCTGTAGCTCAAGTGGTAGAGCGCTCGCCTTGAGCTGAAGAGCTGAGGGACAGTGCCCAGGCCCAGAGTTCAAGCCCCACAACCGCCAAAAAAAAAAAAATTAATGATAACTTAAAAATAAAAGCAAAAAAAGGCAAAACACATACCAAAAAAAAGAGCCCACAGAAATAAATAAGTAGGGTGGTTGAGGGGAAGATGGGAAGGAATGGGAAAAATAGAAATTCACTAACTGAATAAATAAATAAATTTCTAAAGCATGAAGACATAGGAGTATGACTCAAATGATAGAGTTGCCTAACAAGGAAAAGAAGAAAACTGAAAAAGCAGATTCTAACTACTAGTATCAGGCACACAGCTTTGAGCTGGAGAATGCTCAAATCCACAGGTTACTCTAAGGTCTGACGCAGGACAGCTCTGCAAACCAGCCCAGAGCAGAGAGAAAACCGCTCAAACCAGGCAGTTTAGCACGCAGACTCAGTACTCACACACCTGAAGCAAGTCTCACACAGTAGTTGATCTCTAGAAGCTGATCTGTGCCAGAGAAACGGGGAAAACACATAAATAGCAGATGTGATCCCGCCCAAAACACACCCGAGCTAATTCCACCTTAAGTGCAAGACACTTCCAGATAACTACTGCTGCTTCTAGTTGTGCAAGTTTCCCAACTCCTTTGACCACAATAACAAATATATGTTATGTAATATAAAAATATACATATATCATATGTAAATATATAATGAAAATATATTTGAAACAAAATGCAAACTTAATAAAAGTCTGTGCTGCATTGGAGATGTAGCTCAACTGTCTAAGCCAGTGTAAAGTCCAGACTTCAAAGCCTGCTACATTAAAAAAAGCAGCCAGCATGGTGGCTGGTATATAATAATATTAATAATAATAATAGCAATAATAATTGTTAGGTAAATTAAATTGGCAGCCGAGAAAAGAGAGAGCAGCACGTGGTATTCAGGGAAGGGAAAGGCTTATTTTCAAGCACAGCAGGTGAAGAGCCAAAGTCACTCCATTTTGAGATTAACCCCACCATCTTGTGCTGGCTTCCCAAGAGAAAGCTAGAGCGAGAACAATCTGAAGGATGGTTCCAATCATGGTTTAACTACTTCCCATCGTTAACAACCTTAACTTCTACTCTAATGGCCTAATGGCCCACTTATCGTACTTTTACTTGTGCTTACCATAGGCCCCTGTGTGATAAATAGGCTCATAACTTTTGTAAAGGACCATGTAAATACCGTCCAACTAATGGTACTGAGGAGTCAATATCAACCTTTACATTGTGAAGAGATGGCTGAAACCCATCTAGGGTTGAGAGCCCAGGGGCCATGATTGGCCCCTGAGTGTCTGGAAGAGGAGGCAATGAAGGACTAAGCTAACTCCATTCTAAAAGCAAGCCATCATCTCCTGTAAAAGTGACCTCAGGTTAAACTTAAGGGACAAAATAGCCATTGGAAAAACCAGTTCTTGGAAGGCTCTTGGAAAGCCCACCATCAAAACTGCAGTTATACCCCTAGCAACCCCAGTTACATAAAGGTTGAGAAACACAACCCCCGTTACTGGAAAATGGACAGGTTGGTCAAGTTCCTGGAAAAACAGCTGTTAATATTGTTGCCTGCATTCCTGTGATCTGTCTTATGTATCCCAACCAATGATCTGCTTGCTAAGTTTGATTTAACCAATCCTGTTATCACTAAGTTGGAAACCCACTCCTCTTGCTGGAAACCCTCTAAGAACCCTACTGAACATGTGGAGCGGGCTCACAACTCTGACCTGCTTCATCATTGACGATTGTGAGTCCAGGCTCGGGCTTGCAAATAAACGACTCTTTTGCTGTTTGCATTGGTCATGGTCTCTGGGTGTCACTCAGGGGTCTCAAGTTGGCAGCCGAGAAAAGAGAGAGAAGCACATGGTATTCAGGGAAGGGAAAGGCTTCTTTTCAAGCACAGCAGGAATAAAAAACATGGAACCATACCAGGGCACCCCAGGAGATCATTGGCCCCGCCCATGCATCTCACCACTCTTAACTCTCACTTTGGGGTTTCTCAGCTGAGGAGGCAGTGTCTGAGTATCATCCAGACAAAGCAAGCAAGCTGCCCAGTTCCACTTCTTGCCAACAGCTGCAGAGACCCTGCCCCACGTGGGGGAGGATCTTGGAGATCTGGTTATCTGTAAGGGGGTACCCCAAGTTGTAGAGCAGACTGTTAGGGGTCAAGGAAACTTGACATCTGGTTTGGGGTCCAAGGGAGGGCCCTATTTTCTGCCCAGGAGCAACCCAGGACTTGTGCAAGCCCCTTCCCCTTCCCCAGGGAACGAGGGTGTTTCCAACCCAGAAGTATTCTTTTTAGCAATCTATCTGTCCAAGTGTGCTCATCAATTGTGACCAGTATTCTAGAACAAACAAGCAAAAAAACAATAAAAAAATCCACCAGATAATTGCTAGGGGAATTTCAGGATACAAAGACAGCTACCACTTATAGCTCTGCACTTTCCCGCCATTATAATTTACTCAACTTAAGTAGTTGTACACAAGGGCTTCCATCCCATAATGTCAACCAACTGTTTTTGTTCAAGAGAACTAAGCTGGCAACGTTTTCCCAGTAACATTATTTCCTTCATTCCGTACATGGGAAACTTCACCAGCACTATCTACTTTAGAATCATTTGTTACCGCTTTTCAAAGTGTGTGTGTGGACGCGGCTATGCACTCTCTCTCTCTCTCTCTGGGGCAAATATGGCTCCTCTAATAAACCTTCTGCTAATCTTTCTCCTGTGCCTGCCTGCCTCTGCATGGTCCTCTGGCATGGATCATATATATATATATATATATACATATATATATACATATATACATATATATATATATATATATATTAGGAAACACAACCAACCCAGGGGAGGAATTAGGATATGAACAATGAATTAGAAATTACATGATCCATAGGTTCAGAATGAATTTTACAATGCCCCAGTGTCTCTCAGTTTCCCCCCATTTAAACCACACATTCCAGGATAGAACAATGGGGTGGGGGGGGGAGGGTTGGTTGGCAGGGAGAATATATATATATATATATATAAAATGAGCTACATCTCCAATGCAGCCCAGACTTTTATTAAGTTTGCATCCGGTTTAAAAATTATATATATATATATATTATCAATAATATTTATATATTATATACCTACATATATAATACCATTACTTATAGAAAATATATTTCTTATTGTGGTCAAAGGAGCTGGGAAACTTGCACAACTAGAAGCAGCAGTAGTTATCTGGAAGTGTCTTGCACTTAAGGTGGAATTAGCTCGGTGTGTTTTGAGCGGGATCACAGCTGCTATTTACATGGAGTTTTCTCGGTTTCTCTGGCACAGATCTGCTTTGAGAGATCGACTATGCTGTGTGAGACTTGCTTCAGGTGTGTGAGTACTGAGTCTGTGAGCTACACTCCCTGGTTTGAGCGGTTTCCTCTCTGTTCTGGGCCGGTCTGCAGGGTTGTCCTGCCTCTGGCCTTAGAATAACCTGTGGATTTGAGCATTATCCAGCTCACAGTAGTTAGAATCTGTTTTTTGGTTTATTTTTTCCCTTTTCCTTGCTAGGCAACTCTCTATTATTTAAGTCATACTCCTAGCCTTTCATGCTTTAGGAATTTATCTATTTTTTCTGTGGACTCTTTTGTGATGTGGGTTTTGTCTCTCTTTTTTTTTTTGCTTTTATCTGTAATTTCTTCTTCTTCTTCTTCTTCTTCTTCTTCTTATTATTATTATTATTATTATTATTATTATTATTATTATTATTACTATTATTTTAAGTGTGCTATCCTTGAGCTTTTTCAGTTGAGGCTGGCCCTGTACCATGTAAGCCACGTCTGCTCCACTTAACTTTTTTTTTAGTGGTTAAGGAGTTGGGGAATTTCACAAACTTTCCTGCTTTAGATCCTTTTGATCCCAGATGTTCAACATAAGGTCTCAGCCTCTGAGCCGATCAGCTGCTTGCCCAGCTTCATTATTATTTTTTAAAAAGGATCTCAGTTTAGGTGCCTGGCTTTTGTTATTGTTGTTGTTGTTGTTGTTGTTATTATTATTGATCTCAGCTGGGAATTCTCCCTGCCAACCAACCCTCCTTTCCTCCCCCTCCCCATTATTCTATCCTGGAATGTGTGGTTTAACTGGGTAGAAATAGAGAGGCACTGGGTCATTGTAAAATTCATTCTGAACCTATGGATCATGCCATGTCTAATGCATTCTTTTGTTTTGTTTTGTTTTTAATTTTTTATTGTAAAGATACTATACAGAGGGTTACAGTTACATGAGTGAGGTAATGAGTACACTTCCTCTTGAAC